GGAATTCTGGGAGTCAAAGTCCACTCCTCTTAAAGTGGCCAAGGTTGAGAAACACTGCATTATGGTATTTCTTGCCCTGCTCCCCCCCATGCCTGTGGTGCAACCTTTCTAAGGCCAGGTTTGCACACTATGCCAAACCATTGTTTGTTTGATCCTGGTTTACTGAAGAAAGCAGGAGGGACTGTGGACTTTGGAGAAGAATATTGACGCTTTCGAACTTTGGTGTTAGAGAAAAGTTCCTTGCTTATCCGAGGTTTCTCGGTTTAGGTGATTTGGAGGAGAAGGGAAGAAATCATCATTGGCTGTGTTCACACAACACCTTAAATTATCAACCAGGTTTAGCAAACCACCATAGCTGGGGCCACGTAATGCGCTCACCCCAAACAAACCACATTGTGGCTGAACACAACGGCCTGGTTCACCTCCTTCCCTAAATTAGTTAAAAACCCAGCAGCTGCGTTCCCCTAACATGCTAATCTGGGTTAGTTTTAACCTTGGCTAGTTCACGGTTTAGCCTGTGGGACAAACCTCAGCTGCTTGATTACTTTATAGTTCAATTTATTGTTCAAACCTGAAACAATGGGTCCGTTCAGTTAATTCCAGAATTAACCATGAATTAATTAACCCCAATGACAGGTCCTTATACCTCCATGAGCCAAAAATCCTTGCTACTCTGTGCCCAATAACCCTGAGTCTTCTATCTACCTCTAGAGAAGTAAATGGGAGTTGTAGTCCCAGTTTGTTTAGTTCTCACATTATACCTGAAGTTCATACCCAACTAGGTTGCTGATAAATCAACAACAAATCCGTAGAAATAAACCGGCCAAGGAATTTAATGGCTACAATGGAAATCAAACAAACCGTCTTGACATTCCCTCAACGTGTTGGACTGCAACTCCCATCATCCTCAGCCAGCACCCAAGGGAGACCACCCGACTAAAAAGAGCAGAGCTGGGATGGGTAAACGCATTCCCGTGCTGGCCCACCTTCTCTCGGCTTCAGATGGATTCCAAAAAGCAAGCCACCCAGGTGAAAGAAGAGACCGGGGATTGTTGAATAAACCACAATTGGTTGGAATCGCACCATAGATGGAATCAGAAACAGGCCAGCTATCTTTTGGTACCGCAGTATGGGAACCGCAACCCAAGACCTTAATGAAGCTATACCTTCTTACAACCACAAATTACAAACTACATCCTAGGATCTATCGGCTCGTAAGGACACGTCGTTGCTAAACTACAACGTCCTTTGGGTTTTGTGAGTTGTGCAAACTCAGCCCCCGAAGTCTGCAAACACCGGCTTCCAGCTGGGCATACGTGAAGCCAGCCTTGTCCCACAACCCCTGGTTAGTCAAACCATGGTTGCAGGCCCTGCAAGGGGTGCGTGAGCTCAGCTCCTAGTCTGCAGCAGCCAAAATTAAAATACACTGATTAACAAGCAGGCTTTCTGAAAAGAGGGGAAAGTTCCCCATTCAACTTCCTGATTGCCATTCAGCATCAGAAATCAGATTTACAGATGACCAAGCCTACAAAACAATACACAAAAAGGAGAAAGAACCACAATAATAAACAGTTTAAGAGGAAAACGATACGGTCGTCTGCATCGGAGCTGTACAAAATCTCAAGGTGGGAACGAACGGCTGGAGTTCCTCTGGGCACCTCCAAACCCCTGTCAGAGACCCAGATTTCTGCAGCCAGCTCTGAAATGCCTCCCCGATACAACGGAGTTGGCGCTTCCCAGGTGGATTAGCTCTTGCCTTCCCAGAGTGGGCTGAAGCAGGCTGGGTTGAACCTGGGTTAGCTGCTTTGAGGCTTAAAAGTGTGCGCCCACCCAAACGTCGATGGTCCATACCCCAGACTTTGAAAGCAGGTGAATTCAGTAGCCGAGCGATGCCCGGAGATCCAAGGCCACAGCAGGGCAAGAAGGAACTCACGCACAGCGACTTACAGCCTCGCCCTTTCGTAGGACAACATCCACCATGCTCCCCTGATCTCAAGTAGCTTCCTCTCCAAACAGCTGATACGTTCCCCGCTGGCGGAGGGACCAGAGCCACCAGCCAACCAGAGGAGCCCCTGGCTGCATCGAAGGGTGGGCGTGGGTTGGCGATGCCCTCCCATCTGACGCACCGGGGCATGGGAGGCCCAGCTGCTCGTGCTTAGCAGGGGCGGGGATGGGGGCTTCCTCGGCTTGCGCAGCAAATCCAGGATTGATCCAAGCCAAGCCGCCGGGATTTTAATACAAGGTGTTCTCCGCTGACCAAGGGGATCAAGCCAGCCCGCAATTGCGCAAGTGGTGCCCCACGGTTCCCCTCCTCGTGCATGCAACATCCAAGTTGAGGAGCCAGCCTGGAGAAGCCATGATGGAAACTAAAAAGGGGGCACCCCAGAGATTTTTCCCTCTAGCAGTGATCCCCTTCAAAAGATGCCCTTCGTTCTTTCCCCGCAACTCCTGATTTTAGTTGATTTTTGGGGGACTGTCCTCTGTCCTGATTTGAATCCGCGTTGTTTAAAAAAAAGAGTTTTCTTTGGCATGGGGAGGGACGGAAGTTTAAACGTTTGGCTCGAAGGTCCAAAAGATCCGCTTGGTGTTCGTCTCATGAGCGCTTCGCTTCGGTCAAGAGCAAACCCAGCCGGGTGGGTCTAGCTAGCGTTGAATTCATCCGCGGATTTGTGTGACGGATCCGTACGTGCTTTATTTAGTATTTCTTTTGCTGCTTTTATTAGGGTTCTTTTTTTTTTTTAAGTTGATATTTAATATAGCTGTGGGGTCTGGCCTGGAAGAAAACTGGATTTTTAACTTCCTCTTTCACCTCCAGCATATTATTTATTAAGGCTTAACGTCTTGCCCGTTAAGCAATGCAAGGGCCAAGGGGCACCATAGTTGGGGTAGGTTTAGGGCATCCGATGGCTTTAAGCTAGCTCTATGAGAAGCAGTGTACCATGGAACATGAGTCGCAAGGACGGGAGGCTGTAGCCGAGGGAGGTGTATCCAGAAAGCTGTAGGAAGAAGTGTGTTTCTCTGGATTTAATTTCTCCAGCAGGTTTTAGTCTGATGGAGCGTGCAATGTCTTCTGTTTTTAGATTATTAATCCTGCCACAAGGAGCCTGGGCACCGTCTCGCAGGCCTGGTAGAGCAAAGTGCAATTTATACATGGAATAACTGGTTCGTTTTTTCCATGAATAGAAGACCGCCATTCATTCCTACAGTTGTCGAGAGTTTCAAAATACCTAGGCCAGATATTTGGATGGGCCAGGAGGGTGGGCCGAGCCCCTCTGATTTGCTTCTGGGACAAGGAGTTGTGTCAACCCAGAATTTTGAGCCCATCTGAGCTTGTGAGTCCCGGGAATCCAGCCTTTGTCGGCTGTCTGGTGGATCAGTAGGGGCAGGTGGCAATTTTGGACGAAAAATGGTCCTAGTACCAATTATCTTAAGTGCAATTCCACTGGTGTGAAGTTTATTCACAGAATTAACTATATGGAAGTGGGGCATTCAGAACCCTGTTTTCCTGTTTCGGCAACTTTCAGAAGGGTGGACTTCAACTCCCAGAATTCCCCAGCCAGCAACACAAGCCACTTATGCAAACATTTAGACAGCCACCATGTGTCGTCCTTGGCCCAGCCCTTGAAGACGACCCGGAGTGGTGTTTTCCAATTTTACCAATTTTAAGATGGGTGGACTTCAATGCCCAGAATTCCCCAGCCAGTATGCTCGCTGGGGAATTCTGGGCATTGAAGTCCACATATCTTAAAGTTGCTGAGATTGGGAAATAACAGGTCCAGAGGTTTGAGCAACTAACCAATTGAGCTGGATGATGGGACAACATCTATATTGCTGGCTGGGGAATTCTGGGAGTTGAAGTCCACACAGCTTAAAGTTGTTGAGATTGGGAAACGCTGGTTTAGACTACCAACTCTGAGGTCCTGTGACTGCAAATACCCAATGACTGAGAAATATGTATCTCAGCATATTTGTATTTATTGCTTTCGGCAACTTTCAGAAGGGTGGACTTCAACTCCCAGAATTCCCCAGCCAGCAACACAAGCCGCTTATGCAAATATTTATGAATGTAAACTCTGGCACTGAAATCAAGGGAGCTGAAAAGTGCCGAGCTGTGATGGGATCGTGAGCTTGGTTTGTCTCACACCTGATACAGAAACCAAAGGGGGAAAAATGCCTAAAGAAGGGGAAAAAATATCTGGACTGAGAGATCCCAGATCCCTCTCCAAATTTCTTTTCTCTCCGTTCCTTGTTTACTTGCTCCTCCCCGCTTAAATAATCTTCCCAGTCGCTGATGGATTAATTTCTTTCTCTGCATTACGTTAAAGACTCCTTTTACCTTTATGTGGGTTCAAAGCTATTTAAGGCATTCTTTGATTAATCTTTAAAATCTCTTTCAGGTCAACCAATTCCTGGTGACCTCATCTACACCCATCCATATACTGTACTATAAACTTTTGGCAACAATACAGAAGTGATTCCTCCTCCTCCTCCTCCTCCTCCTCTTCCTTCTTTCTTCCTCCTCCTCTTCCTCCTCCTCCTCCTCTGTCTCCATCTCCTTCTCCTCCTCCTCTCCTCCTCCTTCTCCTTCTCCTTCTCCTTCTCCTTCTCCTTCTCCTTCTCCT